GTTACATGTCCTACTTGGTGGAAGGAGGGGCTGCCTGATTCTAGACGTGCAAATAAACCCAATTAAGATCATTAAACTTAGGCAGAGCTGGGCTGCATAGCATCCAGACACTGTAGCTGAGGATGGTCTTGAACTTCTACCTTCCTGCCTCTACTCTAGACTTTACTTCTGTATTTTCCATCTAATACCTTCTGATCACTGTTGCCTATGAGTAAGCTTCAGTAGTGGAAAAGTTGCGTCCGTTTATCAGATGGGTTGAGAACACACTATCATTTTGTGACATGCCTGTCCCAAATCCATACCTCAATACAGTCACAAGGGAACAGCAGACAAATACAACTGAGGGGTGCTTTATACAACGACTGGCATAGCTGAAGAGTTGGCTCAACAGTTAAGAGCACAGACTGCTCTTCCAGAGGTCCTAGGTTCAATTCCCAGCACCTACATGGCAGCTCACAGCTGTGTGTACCTCTAATTCCTAGGGATCTGGCACCCTCTTCTTGATTTCTCAGGTACTAGGAACAGATGTGGTGTACAAACATACATGTAGGTGAAACACCCATATGCATGAAATAATACAACTTTTTAAATTAGCCAATCATCTCTGATGTTGTGGGATAATCTTTTTGTATACTGTAAAGATGTGTCTCTGCCTAAGATGCCTTCTGATTGGTTTAATAAAAAACTGAATGGCCAATAGCTAGGCAGGAGGGAATAGGCGGGACTTCTAGGGAGAGAGCTCTGGGAAGAAGGGAGACAAAGATGCCTGTGAGTCACTGAAGACTCACTGCATACGGTACAGAGGAGAGGTAATCGAGCCACATGGCAGAATGCAGTTTAACAAAAACAGGTTACATTAGAATAGCCAAGGCCAAGCTTTCATAATTCATAAGTCTCCGTGTTGTTATTTGCAGGCTGGTGGTCCTGATGAGACAATACAACTCCACTCAGAAAGTATCAAGGTCAAAAAAGCTGAGGAAAAGCAGAGAAATGTTTCAAAGTGAAGATTTAGCATAAGGCAATAAGAGAGAAAATGTGTCTGACTTGTGACTCCTGGGGCTGCAAACACATTGTTGGAGAAGCCTGAATGGGATCTTCTTAGAAGGTGAAGAGCTTTATGGGAAATGCACACCAGAGAGCTCCAGACCCAGGGACCCCCTGCATTACAGTAAGCAGCATGATCGCATGGCTTGGGTAGGCTCTGATATTACACCAACAAGCTAGGTGTGTGCTTTCCAGTTGAGCTACAGTACTAGCCTGAAAAATGTTATTCAAAATGATGGCTATTAAGATGTCTATGGTGCCTAAAACGCTGTAGGTGCTCAAGAATGTAAATTCCTCTCAGAATGCTGATCTCCTATAGCAACCCACAGGCACGTGTCTGCTAAGGTCGGCTCTCACTTTAATGGTAATGGGTTCCTCTGTCTCTGAACTTTGACCCCAGGGAACAAGGGTAGCTTCTACATTTCAGCTGGATTAACAAAATTCTGTCTTCTAGGAACTGGCAAAGGAAATGAGATGCTAATCCACTTCTGCTTCTCAACTTGAATCTAGAGGACATGCAGATTTAACTAGATCTGATATCTGAGGGGAACTGTCTCCTGTAGTGAGCAAAGGATGTTAAAATTTAGTCGGCAGGGCCGGGCGGTGGTGGTGCACACCTTTAATCCCAGCACTCAGGAGGCAGAGCCAGGTAGATCTTTGTGAGTTGGAGGCCAGCCTGGGCTACAGCACGAGCTCCAGGACAGGCTCCAAAACTACACAGAGAAACCCTTTCTCAAAAAAACCAAAAAAAAAAAAAAACCCAAACAACACCAACAACAAAAATTTAGTCTGCAGGTAGGCAAACTGAATCAGATACCTACAGAGGGGCAGAGACAAGAAAGAAGGCCGGAGGTAGCTGAGTTGATAGGGTATTGGCCTAGCGTACATGAAGCCCTGGGTTCGATCCCCCACAACACATGGGAATGTAGTGTTGGCCTGAAATCTCAGCACTGAAGGGTGGTGGAGGCAGGAGGATTAGAATTTCAAAGTCACCCCTTAAACTACCTAGAGAGAGAGAGAGAGAAAGAGAGAGAGGGAGAGGGAGAGGGAGAAGGAGAAGAGAGAGAGCCTAGGAGAAAACCCGAGAGCACAGCCAATGTCCTATAGCAGTCGGCCCTTTAACCCCTTCCACCACTCCAGCAGTCTAATCGATTTCTTCCCTTTGCCCAGGCCAACTTGAGCGGATTT